TACCGGATAAACACGTTATGTAATCATGTAATGATATATTTCATACCTACATGATGCTTACTCGTACTCATAGGTATTCCTGTCAAAACGTTAAAGTCGTAGAATGAATCTTGTGAATTGGAAGTGCCTGATTAAAGTGCATAAGTAGGTGTGTTCGTGTCTTAGGTTTCACCACCTCCTTAAAAGTACCTGATAAACTTATGTTACAGATAGTTCATACAAATTACGTTCTTAGTTCAATTATATGTGGTAGATAGCGGCTAACCAGATATCGTGAAACCGGCCCTAAGAAGTGTAAGACATACCTACCACTTCTTACCTACCTTTCAAATCTAAATAGTTTACCATGAGGTATAATATTAATCTGTACTCTCTAGCCACGTGGACCTATCACTGGACTGACGAAATCGTCGAAGATTTGATAAATACCTCAATAAATACGAAATGGAACTGAAACTATTCATTGAACTTTGAAGTAAGCGGCTAAAGGCTAGGTGCACGCAGCATGCTCATAATTTGCACCGCAACCGATGAAACAAAGGAAGTTCGGTGTAGTTGCACCGTCCGTCTGTCCATCGCCATTAGCACTAATAACTCCATACACGTAATGCATTAATAGGTATACAAAAACAACCCTTAATGCTTAAGACATACGGGCTCGTCGGTCCTTGGCTAGTTACCGTTGAATGTGCCTCGCAGAAGTGACGTCCTTGCGGTTTGAGGAGGAAACTCTCTTTGTGCCTGCTAATAATTCTATCAATAGGCGCATCGCTGCGGTCTACGTGGTAATCGTTCGGAATATGTTTGGAATGCAACCATCGAACGCCGATAACAATTGACACAGGAAGCCTTAGCCGACAGAAGAACTATTTCAATGCGGTCTGACGGTTACACCCGCAATAATTTCCTAGTTGTTGTTTAGACCACAGAACATATAAAGGAGGATAGAACGGCCTTGTGGGCGGTACACGCGTGCCGCGGTTATGAGCAAATGCTCCAAATCTACCAAAATGTCAAAAACCGGCCATCAAACGCAATGTTGTTGTGACAGCGTACGAAACTCCGCAAATAATATTAAATTATGCCGTCTTGGACTATTGTAATGTGTCGGAAAAGAAGACAGGTGTGCAATGTAGCACGAGAAGGGATTTCTTTCCACCAGTGACTTCAAAAACATTAATATACTTGTGATATTTGTAATTATAACATTAATATTATGACGTTTCTAGACAAAAACGACATTATCGCAAGCAGTATACATTGCTTGCAATAGATACGTACCGTTTTGCACTACATAAACGATCGCGCAATGTATTACGTTCACAACGAGAGTCCCGAGTATCAAATCAAAACGTCATTTCCTCGAATCGATATAGAGAAGTGTCAATTTGTAAACAATGTCGATAATTACTATGATACAAAGGATTATTATCAAATTATACACATTATAACTAAAATAATTTTATTTATTACGACTAATTATGAAATAGGTTTTAAGTGAGGCATTTTATTCGTATTTCAGTTTTATATAATTTTTTATGTATTCGTTATGTTTTGTTCAGTAAGTAGACTGATTTTATGATTTAGGAAATTTTGTTTTACATTTCTACCTTGATATCATCTAAGGGACATCTAAATCATTTTTCGTAAGATGGATACTCTTTCATACATGCTTAGGCCCAAATTGTAAATAGTTGAAACTATGAGAAATTCTTAAAAGCCAGCCGAAATTTTAGTCAATAATTTAAAATAGTTGTTGAGGTTTTCTATTCGAGAACAAAGCTATGACAACAAATAAGATGACATTATATCCTGGGAGCGATTGTATTGTACCTTTTTTAAGAATAGCTATGTACACTTGATGACTTTTCTAGTTTTCAGAGCTTTTAGAGCTGACTTAATTTACGTGAGCTAAATATTGTGTTGGCCTGGAGGTTGCGGCGCTGTTTCATACAACTTATACGTACTTTCTAAGTTAATTTGCACACCACTCACATTCAGTAAAGGAAATTATGTAACCGAAACTATATAATAATTCCTATTTATATTAACTATTAAAGAAATACGAACGACGATTATCGGTTGTCATCATACGAATGTCATGATGATATCTAACAGAGACAATAACAGAGTTTTGAGCACAGATTAGATATATCATGATATGGTTACGTTATGATAATTCTCAATATTTCATTATTTTATGATTTTTCATTCCTTAGGGAGAAATTACGCTATTTTTTATATATTTTGAATTAAGTAAAAATCTATTATTTTTGACCCCATGACTTCCCAGACTCCTTTTATTTTTATAAAACTTACAGTTGAAAACAAAACAAAATCGAAATAATACCTTTTCGGGTTTTTATACTTTTTTGATTACTACCAATCAACAATTTACTTATAACTATATTCCATGTCAAATTATTTTAATGTTAATAATGTAATTGATTTTAAAAATCAGTTATGTATTTTTCTATGTATAGTTATTTACATTAACGTAAATACATGTGCACAATATGCTTTATACAAATCCGCATAGTCCACAATACATGTAAATTAAGAAGCTAGATGCCATTAATTTTATCGATATCAATAATCGACCTTTCGCTCCCCCTACCATATATGAGTTTTTTACGCCTGTATTAGTGTATGTCAAACTAAGTGATTGCGTCAGTGTGACGACCAATAACAAATCTTTTAACCTAGTGCGTGTTGTTTATTTGTGTGCATTTTCCGCGTAGGTATTGGTCTCTTGCTTGTAGTAAAGTTAAAGAGTGGGGGACAAACGGCGACGCGTGTTCTAATACAAATCAGGAACTATTTCCTTTCTAGCCTTCTTTATATGTTCTGTGGTTTAGACTTTCTGTAAATTATTTTAGCATATTATGTGTCCTTAGCTTATATTTTTTATCATTTAGATATTGCATTTCATCTAGTTACCTAAATACTTACTTAACTATGTACACAATTTAATGGTTACTTTCTCTACACTTATACATAGGTAAGTAATGTCTAGGGATAGTTTCAGATACAGTGTCTTAGGAAGGGGAGTAGGTAGTGTTAGACGACGAAAATCTACTAAATAAACGTCACTAGTTTAATCTGCGTTATTTATTTTGGACTTTCATTGAACACACGAACTATTCTGGAGTCAAGTGAACTTAAATAAGAATACACACAACATTCTAAAAGTTGTAACGTCCATTTGGGTTGAATGTTTGAGCAAGCATTAAGATGTTTTTGTGAAGCTGGTTTAAAATTAACGTTTTCAGTATTGATGTATTGAGTTTTATTTAAAAGTAGATTTAATTTAGATGTTTATTACAGGATCACACCACTTTGCTGGTTGTTAGGGATAGACCTAGTAGACTAATAGTCTATAGGAACTATATGTGAACTTGGTATCTACTTTCCAATCCCCATTGCGTTTTTAGATATTGCGGTCTTAGTTTTCATTCCCGAGAACAATGCCCTTAATAATATTGTCTCATAGGTTATGACAGCTTTTGCAGATAAATCCCATAGTCCTGCAATAGATTATCACGGGCTTTTGGTGATGACGATGATAATCAACTGTACTTACTTTTAGAGTCTGTATCGTAGGCAATATGTATTTGTCGAGTAGTCGGAAAAGCGAGCGAGCAGCTGAGCAACCGGTCTCGCGTTCCTATTGAGGATTTTCGAGTGTTTCGAAATTTAAATTATAGTAAATAATAATAATAATAATCTGTTTAAGTGTGGGAGAGATATGCTTCGGCACAAATGGGCCGGCTCGACCGGAGTGATATCACGGCCTTACAGAAAACAGACGTCAAACAACGCTTGCGTTGTGTTTCTTTGTGTGAGTGAGGTTACCGGAGGCCCAATATACAAATACCCCCTTCCCCAGTCTCCCCAATTCCCGAATTATTCCCGAATCCTTCCTCTTTCGGGGATTCGGGAATAATTTCTATCCTATTCCTAATTTCCAAAAGGCCGGTAACGCAAGTGCGTTGCAAGTGTAACGCCTCTGGTGTTTCGGGTGTCCGTGGGCGACGCTGATTGCTTACTATCAGGTGATCCGTATGCCCGATTATTTACCGGCTCATATCATAAAAAAAATCACCATTCCCCATGATGAGAACCTCGTGAAAGCTGAGGAAGAGCAACAAATAAAATATCTAGGCTTAGCTAACGAAGTTCCTGACATGTGGAGTGTGGATTCGGCTATCATTGTGCCGATAGTCGTGTCGGCCAATGGGTTAATCCCTAAAAGCCTCAACATCCATCTTAGGAGGCTGGCGTGGCTAGGTGGATGGCCTGATACAGAAGGCAGTTCTCCTAGAAACGGCACGTATCGTGAGGAGGTTTCTGTCTCTGGAGCCTTACCACTTAATGTATAGGTTGGTAGGTAGGTATGCTCCAGCTATAGGTCGGCTCTAATTTTTTATATTTTTAAATATTATTTTTTTATTTTGTAAGTAGTATTTAAAAATATAATTTATATATATATTCCACTGGTAACGGCAGAAGTCCAAGTTTCAGCATTCGGGCTCAGGACTCTTAGAATACCTTCTTTCTGTATTAAGCACTTAAACATTACCCTTCTCGGTTGTTATTAGTACCTACACCTTCACTATAACATTGTAGTAATCAGTAATAACGGAAAGCTACAGACGCCACGGGACGTAATTCTCATTTAAAAGAACCTGCTACTGCCATCTGGTATTCGTTTATTGAAGTTATATGTTAACTATTTATTCTATTCGGCACTAGATAGCGCCACCTATAAACTTCATTTAAAGTTTTTTATTTAAATGAACGATAAATATTAATAGAAAATATAAAAAGAAAATAAATAAATTATTAAAAAATCGTGATATATTAGGTATACATAAATCATTTTTGTAACTCCTGACCTATATAGGTAATATCTAGGTGCCGTGTTTGTACCGACTATTAATCATTCTAAAATAAAAAAATAGAACGTCAAACAATAAAAGATAAATCTGTGAATTTTTGAGCCTTCTGTCATTAGTGTGGTATACATGCTTAAACGAATGTTTTTTATTCTTGAATTTTATTTTAAATCATTTAATACACAAGAATGTCCAAGTTTTCTAGAATTGTATTGATAAGACGGATTATTTCCACTGTAAAACAGAATTTAACTAGAAAGAGTAGCTCACGAGCTTCCATCAATCTATCCGAACCGGCTATTGAAGGTTACTTGAAAAGACTGATGTTCGAGCATGAAGACCTCTATATGAAAGTGACAAGAACTCCGGAAGAATCTCGTCGTTATTTTCAAATAAAACCAATCGTTAATGTACTTCAACACCGTATTGCTTTGCTTGAGAACATTGCATCGCTCGAACAACTTATTAAGACGAAATACTCTCGGAATGAGGATGACGCTGAGATGAAAAAAATGATGAAAGAAGAAAGTAAAATATACGAAAAACGTATGGAAGATCTCGATCGTGAATTGCAAATGAAGCTCGTAGAACCATACCTAACGGAAGGTGTAGTGTTGCTAGAAGTCAAAGCGGAATCAGGAGGAAAAGAAGCGATGAACTTAGCACAAAAAATATTTAAAATGTATAAATCATATGCAAACTATAAAGACTGGGCATCCAGCGTTGTCTCATATGAGAAGTCAGATGAGGAGGGTATTATAAAAGGGTCTATGTTCATTGAGGGTTTAGGTGCAGTTGAATTTATGAAAGTTGAGACTGGGATACACTGTGCAAAAAAAGCCTCTGCCACCATGGAAAACGGCCAGAACATTCAAATTAGTACAGTAGCTGTAACTGTTTTACCAAAGCCGACGGAAGAAGAACTAAGTATCCCTGAAACTGATATTATCGAAGAAAAACTTCCCGATAACTCTGTTCGGATCACACACGCCCCAACCGGGTTGGTAGCTGAATGTCAGGAAAATAAATCGAGAACAAAGAATAAACACGTTGCCATTCAGAAATTAAGGTTACTGTTGTTAGAAAAGAAAGATCAAACAAGCAACTGCATATCTGAGGTTGGATGCTTATTTCTACAATCATGGATTATATAACAATTCATGTTAAATTGAGAATACGTTTTTATAACTATTTTACTATTGCAGATCTCTATGGCAAATGGAGGGCAAGAAGTTCGGACTTATGATTATTTACAGGACCAAGTAACAGAACATCGAAGCGGTGGCGGGACTGTTCAGAATTTGCAAAGGTTCATGCAAGGTAACGAAAAATTGGAGCAGGTCCAGGAGAATTTGTTAAAAGAGCAGACATGCCAAACACTCATGGAGGAAATCAATCAATATGCAGCAGAGTCAGTGAAAAATTAGTATAATTTGATTTAAACTGTCAAACACCAAGCGGTCACCGGTGACCGCAACCTATTGTTCTATAATTGTGTCTATAATGACGGTACTCGACGAGTTAAAGATTTTATAAATAACATGACAGTTTTTGCTGCTGAGTATTAAATAATTCATTATGAAATAAAAGGACTCCATTTGTTTTTTGTAATTTAACACTAAAATCCCTTCTGTCATCACTATCACCATCAGCCAATTTTCATTCTTTGGGTTCTACCACTGTAGCCATTGTGCGGATAAAGTTACTCCACTACCATCTTCTCCACTCATACTTCACCTTCACTCAAGGGCAGGGCCATCTTAGACTACGCTGGGGCTCTTAGGCACACAATAAATCGGAATAAATAACAATAACTTGTTAAAAAAGAAAAATACGTCTATTGTAAAGTAATTTTGCCCGAATTTACAAGGATGGTAAGTAATATTATCGCCGCCTTTTTTTAGGGATAATATAATGGGATGACTTTTCTTCCCGAGTGAGGGAGCATCGAGACTCTAATTAACTAAAAACCACCCCGTTCCTACTCCTGCTCTTTGATTCGGGGGCCTGGAACTGTTTAAGTCCTCCACGGACAACATTATCACCGTTTAAGGAGCAAATTCCTTAATTTGAAATACAACGAAATGTCGCGATCGCTGCGCGATCGAGACGAGAGCAAAGAATATTGTGATTAATTTTTACAATAAAGGTTTGATATTGCTATTACCTTTAAAAAGCGTTATATACCTGTGCCGTCTGTCTTCCAAGAAATAATAGGTGAGCTTGAGCAACTAAAAACTAAAATAGGACTTATTTAATCTGTGTTCAACTTAGCTAGACTCACTTGACTGACTCAACTTGACTCTTGACAGCTGTCTGATATCTGTCAAAATGATCATCAGCTGTGTTTTATAACCTCTCTTTCTATGAGGAATATTTTTATTTACGCGGCTTCATCATAAAATGTTTTTTATTATAAAAACGCTCGTAATCAAAGTTTAAAGTTTTTAAAAGCAATATTCATACACGAAAGCTATGTCTCTTGCAAGAATTTTATTCTCGAGGCGGCTATTTACAGCTGAAAACTTCTACATACTCCGTAAGTTTAGTTCACAAAATGCTTTAAATTTGTCTGAACCTGCCGTTCAAGCGTACTTAAAGCAGTTAATGTTTGAACATGAACACCTGTGCCTTAATATGAAAAGGACTTCTGAAGAAAACAGGCGCTTGTTTCAAATAAAACCAATCGTAAATGTATTGGAACAACGAGTCACATTATATGACAACATTGAAATGCTTAAAGAACTCAATAAAAAACCACATCACGATGATGAAATGAAAAAGATGATAAAAGAAGAAGCTGAAATATATTTAAAGCGTATTACGGAAGTAGACATAGAATTACAGTCAGCGCTGCTTGAGCCCCAGCTCTCAGAGGGCGGCGTGCTGCTAGAGGTGACGGCAGGTGCCGGTGGGCAGGAGGCCATGCTCTTCGCGCGCGAATTGTTCGATATGTACGAGTTATATGCCAAGTACAAAAACTGGCAAGTTTGTCTTGTCTCTCTTGAGAAGTCAGATATTGGTGGCATTAGAAAAGCTTCAATGTTCATTGATGGTGTAGGAGTGCCAGAATTAATGAAGATGGAGGCTGGTGTACACCGTGTGCAGAGAATTCCTGCTACTGAAAAGGGTGGGCGCATACACACGAGTACAGTATCTGTTGCAGTCTTGCCGAAGCCTACTGATATTGAAGCAAACATCTCCGATCGTGACTTGGTCATTGAAACTAAAAGAGCTAGTGGGGCTGGTGGTCAGCATGTGAACACTACTGACAGTGCTGTCCGCATCACCCATACTCCGACAGGAACAGTGGTTGAATGTCAGGAAGGTAGATCACAAATAAAGAACAAAGAGATTGCTATACAAAAGTTAAGGACACTATTATTAGAGAAACAACAAGAAGAACAACAATCTAAAATCAATAGTGAAAGGAAATCGCAGGTGTGTCCCTTTATGTTTACTTTATGTACATTAAATAAATAAATTCTCATCATTATACATAACCACCTACAATGATTTGGGTACTTAAACAATGTTGTTTCCTTACTAAAACAACACAAACAATGCATTTTAACGATACAAACCAGTAGGACATAAAGATATTTATCTTAGAGTACTGTATGACGGCCAGTGTTCTTTGCTCCTTTCTCCAGGCTTTTATACTTATACACATTTATATAAAGTATAAGTATAAAAGCAAAATTTGTAGTAAAATAATGATTATACCAAATTCAAATTTCGATTCCTTTTTGTTTGCAGGTTGGTTCAAGTAACAGAAATGAGAAAATCAGAACATACAATTATCCACAAGACAGAGTTACAGAGCATCGGGAGGGAGGTGGCACAGTTCACAATCTGAAGGGATTCATGGAGGGTGATAGCCGACTGGAAGAGTTGCAGCACAGCCTCCTCCGAGCACAGAAACGTCAGATACTCTTAGAAGAAATCAACCGCTTTGCTAAGTACACAAATATGAAGACAGTTGATAATAACTAATCAAATCAAGTAAGATACTGCTAAATATTCTTCATCTATTAGTTAGTATAGTGAAAATTATCGACAATGAAAATATAAATTTGTTAAACATAAATATACTGGATAAATTATTGCAGAAATGGATTTTATTACAGCATGTCTCATTTTACTTTCATATTCTTATAACCTTGTGTAAAATTATATCCGAGTCAAATTATTTCCATTACCAATTATTCATTCTGGTTGTGTCAATATTAAAAAACACATTGAATTATTCCAATAATGATTTATTTTGTACAATCAAACAATCACATTTCAGTAATTAAGTAAAGAGTTCACGTCTAAGACAAATACGTAAATGACAGAGATTCAAAATACTAAAATCTAATAATAATATAATTACAAATATATGACCACTCCGTGGTGTAATATTGCATTGATATAAGTAATTGAAGAATACAATAAAATTTTACTTTGAAATGTTCTCCTTAATTGCTTGTTGTTGCGGATGTTATAAAATACTTCCATCCCATTAATAATTTACTGGCAGGACGGAGCAAAGGTATCATTAAAATTAATTTACAACAGAAAAAAACTGACAAAGTATAAACTAGAAAATTATGCATAAAGCCATTTCTTTTACAAAAGCTATATTATTATCTTACCAATATTTTTTTTTTATTTTACTAGTTATTTAATTTAACTAACACCCCACAGATGTTTGAGGATCGTCCAATTTGTTGATATGAATATTTTTATTACTGCTTCCTATTGTGGCACAATGGGAGCATACTCTATCATTTAAAATTTGATATGTGGGAATGACATGTACTTTTTTTAATTACCTACCTAATCTAAAAGCAGAGATCAATGTAATTCACAATTTTATTAACACAATATAAACTATTTAGAAGTTTTAAATATGTTTGACAAGTCTTTAAAGTTATTATATTTCAATAAACTATGACATTTGATAACAAAACGTAATACATAGGTATTTTATAAGATCTATTATTTTGATTTGAGAATTTTAAAGGTACTTACATAGAACACAGGTATGATATTTTCTGTTGTTGACAACTTACTATTATTGGGAAGAGATTGAATAACTGAAGAACATGGCATCCTTTCATCATACTTGTCTCCCATGTGTCAAATATATCGCTAGCCATAAAGGCGCGTTCACATTAACAGGTCGCTGATAGAACTACATACTAGCTCATATCTAGAATTTCTAATGCTGGCTCTCAATGTGACCACACCGCAAGTATGACTTGTTTTACTTTACAATGGCTTAACATACAATATATGCGTGATGGCTCTTAGCCACTTAATAGGACATTTCCAAAATCTACGCCAGATATCGAAGAATTAAAAATAGACTCAAGGTAACCCATGTCTTGCTATTGCCCGGTAAACTGCCGCGTCCACACATGTCGATGTTGCTCTCCTGTAAAAATTGTTGTCTTTGTTAGTAACGGATCTAATCAATCACTACGTAACATTTGCTTGGAGGTAGGCGTTTAATCTTTTGTATGTGTGCGTTCGTCGTTCTCAAATAGAAAGGTATAATTTTCACCTACCTAGCTTTTACTCGGGGCATCGTTTACGTCAACAAAATAAAAAATGAATACTAGTTCAAACAGTTAGGTATCTGTTGCATGATTAACTGCAGTTCATCTCTGTACCAAAGTTGGTTTAACAGCTTAGACCAGAATGAATATAAACCTACTTTCGTTTGTACTGTGGTCTAATATTAGTGCCGAAACATACCTCAGTATGATTCCGGATACACGAAGTAGGTTGCTTCCTATACAAAGGGTGCATATGCTTCAAGCAGGGCAGCGACTCGTTGTAGTTCACCTCAGTCGCGTCAACTGACATGGCGGCCACTTCTAGTTTCGGACAGTTGGCGTCTACGACTATCATTAGCATGTTGGTGTAGTTGACATGCTGTGCGTAGAAGGGCCGGTGGCATTTATCATCCACTGGCACGTTCAGCTTCGCATCGAGGTTGCTGTAGTCCGTCAGTTGATACAGATACATCTCCCTGTCACAAGGAGTTGGCCTGGTTCGGTTTATCAACACCAGCTTCTCATAGTCTCTCTCCAACACTCGCATGTTCGGAGGTTTAGACATACTCGGGTCGTCAGTCTCTTCATCGTTTTCGTAGCTCTGGTACGCTATAGGATCATCAAAATATCTATCAGTTTGCTGTCAAATAATTCAAGTTCCATGCACGAGCAAAATGGATAGGATTGTTCATTTTTGCAACAAAAATATATAGAGAAAATAAAATTAAACATGCACAAGAATAAAATATTTTAGAGATCTGTACAAGTTTAGATGTATGTAAACAGAATTTTATATAGGTAAATGGATCAAAGAAGAATCAAAATATAAGTTTACTTATTTTCAGAAAAATCAAAAACATTACACATACGAGAAGTAAAAAGAAGAACAAAGAATTGGTCAATATTGGTCCTTAACTTTAAATTGCAATAAAATAGCCTAAAAACATGCAAATCCAAATGATGTTATTTTACATCACGCCTTCCGTGCAAGGGAACATAGATCCACATTATACTCAGTACAACCACTTTTCCCAATTGAAAAGAGTTTTCCGACAGTCCCAATTTATTAAAATATCCCTCTTAAATTCTAGAAACATGCACATTCTCTTTCTCCCCGTTAAGCAAGCCTACTCTCGTTCAATGGGCATAAAGCATCTACAAATAAAATGTTCAAACGTGAATAAAAAGTTGATCATTTTGTTACAAATCGAGAATAAGCTTGCGTTCTATAAGAGTACACAACTAAATCTATTTGACCAAACATAAATCTATAAAAGTATTGTATCTATGTAATTGTCGACGTGCGTGTGTGCTCGCTCTACAAGTAACTCACCAGTGGGTGTAACATTCTCTGAAAAAAGATGGAGTCATTACTACTTTAGTAGAAATATCTAAGTCCAATTGTTGACTCCATGAATGAATTTTGCGTTCGCTACAAGTATTGTGATAACCAGCTAGGAACAGTAATGTTGAGTGCAGTTCAATCGTGGTGCACACTCATGCACCCAAATAACTTTCGTGTATTCAAAGTGACGAAGAGTTTCAAAGTTCTAACACATTTGACTAGTAATACGTGTTAGTTCAATCTAAGGTAGACTAAAACCTAATAATTTTCAACATAATTATATTTCCATTTAATAAAGTCAAGTACATCATGCACAGAAACATTTATAAGCACAATTTAGTTTTCCGCGCAAAATAAAAATATTAATTTACGTCCATTTAAACGCATCGTTAACGTTCTACACAGTTTAGTTCGGCTATAAGTGCTCGTTGTCATGCAGACTGACAGTACATGCTGACAACGCTCAAGAGCAACATCGAATGCGCATAAAAATCCACAACATTTAGCCTGTCGCGCCAACCGACATAATTATTATTAGTTATTTTAGAATATTCTCGGAACTATCCTAGCACATGTATCAACAAACAAACACCCAATGACTTAAGCCTGGAGTTTACGTACCATCGTCTAAGGAGTAGCTGGATGCTTGTGCCAAACCTGTGGTGATGCAGTTGTAGAACCAGACCGTGGTGGCTATAAACCAAGCCATCACGAGCCGCAAGTTTTCGAGGGGCTGTAAATTAAAAATAAATTATACTAGGCCTGATATCATGATGGTAGTCATAGTCTTTGAATCCTCAATTCTTGTTATTGAAGCTCGCACTCCTCTCTTTATGTGAATCTATGCTATTGGCTGTATGACAATAAAATCTGTATAAGCATTTATCGTGTATTACGGTAAACAGCATTGTAGCTGGGTTCGTGGTTTTCTTCTCTCTAAAGCAGACTGCTTGATAGTCTACAATGTGTACCGCCTTATAAACTTCGTCTTCCACCAATCGCGCCATAATATCTGGTCGGATCTGGAAATGGAGACATAATATTAAGAAAAAAATTAAAAAAATATCCATATCATCGGTTACTCTTAATACTGAAATTAATCTTACCCTTCCAAAGAATTGTCCAGTCTGAGTCGAGTCTTCGCTCACAACTATCCAGCCATTGTTGTCTACCAAGTAACAGTCCCAGTTATCAGATTGACAGGTTGTGCACTCCTTGTTGTGTTCACACTGGAACAAATGAGTAGAGTAAATCTAAATCTGTTCAAATAACCTATTTGGTAAAATTTTAAAATCCTGTCTTTCCTATAAGTTATTTCTAAAACAAAAATAGAAATATGTCATGTCGTTGGAAACTTTAGGACTTGAAAGAACACTTACCGAAGACGTAATGTTATCGAACCATTCGCTGAGTCGCTCGTGTTTGAACTGGAAGCCGACGACAGCGGCTGGAGCCTTCCTATGTCCGTCTCCGTGGAATACCGCATGCGATGCAGTGACCATAGCCAGGCTGACGTTGAGAGGAAACTTGTCAGTGCTCAGGTCGACGCTGTACACGTAACTGAGGGGATCCACGTAGTGCTGTTCTACGGCTCGACGGTACCATACTTCCTCGATCGCTCGTGGCCACTGCTTTCCAAATTCAGGCCTGGAAATAGAAGAAATTGTTTCAAAAATCAAGTTTTAAAGAAAATAATTCCATTCGCCGATAGGAGAAAAGATGTAGAAAAAATGAATTCGTTTGAGATGAATTCTAAAATTGGTCATTGAAAATTTTTTACAGTTTATGATATTAAATCGAAGAACATCCTTAAATACGACATTAGTTATTATTTCTGTAATAAATGGTTGTGTACATTATCTTACTTGTCATTATCATGTTCCTTAGGAGGATGAGTCTGCCATCGAGTGAGGCCACTATGTGTCGACAGGAAAGCCACGATGTATCCAAATCGTTGAATGAACTCCACCCTGTTACAAACATTAAATTCACTGTTTATTTAGCCTAAATTCATATTTTAAACGTTATTGAAATGGACATTAAGGTGTCTCGTACAGTCTTTTATTTGGAAGCATTTTTATTGAGGAAGTAGGTACTCTCTTGCTTGTGGACTGCTCTTTCTAATCGAACAATAGGTATATACAAACATTTATTGTTTGATTAATTTCTTTTCTTCTCAAATCTTACATTTACTGATATAATCTTAACTATATAGTCAGGTACGCATCCATCC